CAGAATAATGGGTCCCCAAAGATGTCCATGGCCTACTCCCCAAATTAGTAAATCCCTGGCAGAGGGGACTGTGCAGGTGAAGGTAAGGATCCTGACCGGGGAGATTGTCCGGGCTGATCTAGGTGGCCTTATAAGGTGCAAGCAGGAGGTTGGGGAGGAGAGAAGCTCCGTGATGGGTTCTGATGCTGGAGGAGGGGGCAGGAGCTGGGGGAGGCAGTCAGACTGAAGAAGCTGAAAACTGCAAGGAAGCAGGTTCTTACCTGGGGCCCCAGGAAACAGCACAGCTCCGCCTGCCTGTTTCAGACCACCGACCTCCACACCTGTAGGAGAAAGAGTCTGTGATGCTTTAAACTGTTTAGTTTATGGTAATTTGCTACAGCAACAATAAGAAACAGGTAAATTTGCTTTGATTTTATTATGACTATGTATGTGGGGGAGCACACTTAATCCTGAAATGCTGACTGTGTGGTTTTAGCTTTTAAAGTACAAAGAAAATCAAAATCAAGAGATGCTATGGGGGAAAAAATCTTCTTAATAGAAAAGGGATAAAGTTTTGAGTGAATAAGAACAAGTATCTGTTTTCCTGCCTTCATCCTGTCTTGGTTCTGAGAGTCTCAACTGATCATTCGATTGGTTGGAACCTTTTTTATATTTGGATTTAATGTTCAGTAAATGCAAAGAAAACCCAAAATAGAAGCAAGAGGAAGTTCTAGACAGAGGGACATACTGTGATAGACTAACGTGTTTCTATCATTTTTATTTGATTTACCATCTCTTTGAGCTTTGCTCAGTTACATACAGTTGTAATTTATGTTTCATGTATTAAATATTTAGAAAACAAAACACCTATAACTATTAATTATTGATCATAAATCCATAAAAATACATTTGATCACAGAGAAGACTCATGGGAAAGAAAGTGTCTTTGGAACCAGAGACTGGGGTTTGCCTTCCCTCTGCCATTTTTCCTAGTGGCGTTTGATCCTCCAATCTGTTGTGGGAAACCAGGTGACACTTCTTACCCAAAACAGAAAAAGGGGAAAGATGGCCAGGACCAGGGAGCTCTGAAGCTTGTCTCACTGCTGCTCAAATTGTGTCAGTCTCTTTTAATTCTCTTAGCTTAAATGTTCACGCTAACCAAGTTTTGTTTCTGGGGAAAGTGGTGTCATTTCATTTTTTGTCCTTTGTGAACATACGTAGTCACTCTGCATGGCCTCAATTAACCAAGAATAATAGAATAATAGATGTTCATATGAGGGAACAGCATGGGGAAGCCTGGACAGTGGCCAGCCAGGTGGATTAGGCTTGCCTGGTGCTCCAGGAACACACAGATATTTCCACAGCCTGTTACCACACTTCAGTCTTACTCCTTTTGAATTGGACTCCTTAATCTCTTAGCTTGCCTGTAGGAGAAGCATTAGGGTTTCTGACTGGAGCTCTTAGTTATTCACACTTTTTCAGCCTCTCTAAAACCTAGATTAATAACCCTAAAATCATAGAAATACCACAGTGCTTATAAAGTCATAGTGTAAATGCTTAAGAGAAATATTGAAGTACAACAAAAGAGGGTGGTATTTTAGCAGAAATCAGAGCTCTTACAGCTTTGTGTGTTAGGCGTTGCTTGTCCCAGCCCCACTGTGAATTTGAAGGACTATTTGGAAATCTCAGTGTCTTCTGAGGACATTTCCGTGGCATTAGTTTCTGGTGGCTGATCATTTTCATATTCCATGAGATTTGGATTGTGGAGTTTCATGGCCCAGCTTGTGTCCTAGAAGAAAATTAAAAATGGCGTATCACTTTATTTTGAATCCTAAAATAATTTGTACCCTAAAGAGTAAAGCTCATCTTGAACTCTAAAAAATATGTTAAAAGTTATCCCAGTCTCCCAAGGGTGTCCTGTAACAGCTTTGTGTGGCCTAGAAGTATTTTTTGTTGATGTAAAGTCACCATGCATGGAAGTTTCTCTGTGTGGCATCCTGACGGTGTGAGAGCCACACCTCTGCGACCTCGCTGTATGTTGTTAGGCAGGGACACCTTGCTTCTGTGCGATGTGGCTGTTACATTAAGTGTATTTCTGGAAAAAGACTACCCAGTGTGTGCAGCAGACCTAACCAGCTGCTGTCGATTCCAAGAGGGAAATTCATTAATTCCTTAATGAATGAGAGATTTCTGCATCACATGAGCGCATGTCAAGTCCAGAACCTTGACTAATGTGACTCTTACAGACCCAGTCTGATCTGTTAGTAATCTGATGAAGTGGAACCAGTTGGCTCCAGGCCAGGTGTCCGCAGTGCCCCCGGGCCTCCAGCTCAGTGTTACTCTGTGTGGTGGTAGCTCTGTTCTGTTAAACAGACATTGTGATGATGCCAGACGCCCTGCACTTCTTTTGGGAGTGAAACGGTCATTTTTTGTCTTTCGCACTTAGTTTTCAGTGGGCCCATCAATGCAAGGAACATGTATGGTCTGTAAATTTTGATCCTGTTTTTAGCTATTATCTATCGGATGTACTTAGAACATCATTCCCCCACCTTTCTTATAATTTTTACTTCCACACAGGTGAGTTCCCTATTGTTTGTGTTTATAGAGGGATGACCGTGAAGCGCAGTCAGAAGAGGCAGTTTCTCCACGTGATGGTTTTCAGATGCTGTTTTCTGAAACAGTATTTTTTCCTTTTGAGATATGATTATTCTTATAATTTGGAAACTTGGTTTCATACTTATAAAGAACTCTGTGCAGTTAAGCCAATTTTCTCTTAGTGGTTTCTTATCAATGACACACTGATATTAAGAACAAACAGTGTGCGAGGCGGTGTGATAGGAGCCGACTGCCTTCCCAGGGGAGGCCGGAAACAAGCGGTTTGAGTGGGCCACACCCACAGCACTTCATATCTGAGGCTGGTAATAAACAGGAGGTGGGTGGCAGGTGAGTCTCTGTGCTCCCTGCAAGGTGTCTGCTCCCCTGGGCGGCAGAGATGGGCTCCTCCAGCTCACCTGCTGGGGGGCTGTGTGTGCTCCAGGCCAGATAAGCTCTGCTCAGACCCCCGTGCTCACTGTTCTCCTGTATTTCTGTTTCCAGTGAGAGTTTTGCACTTTGTTTAATCTTTTTTGCAGGGTCCAGTGTGAATGAAGTGGACATTTTTGCCCACGTGATTATAATAATGGCCCTAATGCTTATGGGCTGTGACACTTTTGTTTCTACTTATTAAGAAGGTTGCCCTGGAAACAGAGAGAAGATAAATCAGCCCTTTTTTTCTTTCATTTCTCCTTTTAAGTAACTGTATTTCTTTCTCCGATTCCCTAGTTAATATGAATTGCGTCTCTGATGTCTCCCTGGCTTCTCCAGGGTGTGAAGCCACAGTAAGAGGGAAGGTGATGAGGGAGAGGTCACTGGTCAGGATGGAGAGCCATTAGCAGTCATTTCTCAGGTGTCTTCAATTAAACTGAGACGCAAGGATGTAAAAGATCTTGTGGATATGTTTTATGCTGCAGAAACTGTAGGAAAATTAATGAAGATTGAAGTGTATTTTTTCATGTTTGTTGGTAATTTTTCAGCTTTGCCCTCCTTACACAAGAAGTATAAGAAGTGTTCTATGTGATTGTTTTTCTGGGGAAAGGAAAGACACTTAATTTCCAAGGGTAACTAACCTGTAATCTCTGGAATTGGTAATGACTGAGCAATGTTATTTTCAGTCAATCTCAATTAAACTTTCCTTTGTGATCTTTAATGTGTTATATATTTAATGAATTTTTATTTTAAATTTGATGAGACTTGACTCACGGTGGCTCACACCTATAATCCTAGCACTCTGGGAGGCTAAGGCAGATGGATTGCTTGAGCTCAGGAGTTTTGAGACCAGCCTGAATAGGACCAAGACCCCATCTCTAAAATTAGTCCAGCATTGTGGCGGGCATCTGTAGTCCCAGCTACTCAGGAGCCTGAGGCAGAAGGATCTCTTGAGCCCAGGAGTTTGAGGTTGCTGTGAGCTGTGACACCACTCTACCCAAGGTGACAAAGTAAGACTCTGTCTCAAAAAAAAAAAAAAAAAAATTAAAAAAAATTACTACCCAGGCAAATTAAAATGATTTTTTTTTTTTTTTTT